CCGCTGGGCACCGAGAAGACCCCCCGCCCGCGCTCCCGAGCCCACTCACCGGCTTCTCCTCGCCTTCCATCTTCCCTGAAGGGCTGCTGGCCTTCTCCTCGGACATCGGCGAACCGGGAAGAGAGGACGGAACTCAAAAGCGACGGCCGGGGGAAGAGGAGCGGGAGGCGGCCTGAAGGGCGCTGCGGTTCCCGGGATCTCCGCGCCACAGCCACTAGCCTGGAAGGACCCGCTGATGCAATCCACCGGCGCCCAAGCCCCGCCTCCTAGCGGGCAGCCAATCAGAAAGTGGGGGAGGCGGGCTCTCCCATCTCTAAACCAATGGCAAAGCTTGTTGGGGCGGGTCTAGGAAATCAGTGTGGCGTGGGAAGAGGAGAGGGACCCGTACGCCTCCCTCCCAAGCCCCGGTTGCACCCTTTCCGGAGCCGAGGCTGCAGTGCGCGTGCGCCTCCCCCAGAGCGCCGGGGCCCATTAGTCCAGGGCCTTCCCGGCCACCGTAGCGAAGGAATGGGTCTTGGTCGGAGCTTCCGGGAAGTCTCCGGCGCACCACTTCCGGGGTCATCCTTCCAGAAAGAACAGTAGCCTTCAGCCCGGCTCGACGTCTTCATTCATTCATTCCTCACGTGGCACGTAGGTAGGATGGTCTCGTCCACACAAAGGGAATCGCGGAGCCTCTTGGTTAAAACTGTCCCGTGACTCGTAGCTGCTCTTGGCATAAAAGTAGTCATGGCGTTGAAGGCCCCAGCGGCCCAACTTTCTCCACCCCCCGCGGCGTACGGAACTCTGGCCACAGTGACCTTCTATTTCCCAGGTCCTCCACAAATGTTCGGGTGCGCGCTGAGAATGGCCTCCCCACCCTCACCTCTGCCTTCTCCCCCCGGCCCCCCGCACACTTTTTGCCTGTTTAGCATCTATTTATTTGTCAGATCTCAGGAATAGTGGTTTTTTTTTGGAGAACCATTTCCTGGCCACCCGCACTGCATGGAGCAAGTCTCCCTGTTGTTTCTGCTGGCAGCTTCCTGTAATTCTCCTGGTAGCACCAATCAGGTCAATTTTACAATTAAAAACAAAAACCATCTTATTGTGTCCTAGGTGGAAAACGTCACAAAAGCACAATTTGCATATTTTCACCCGCATCTAGCAGAATGTAAGCATGGCACACAGTTGATGTTCAATAAATGTTAAGGGAATTCACGGGTATTATGTTAAGTGAGATAAGCCAGTCAGAGAAAGACAAGTACCATCTGATTTCACTTATATGTGGGATCGAATGAATACAGTAAACTAACAAATGAAATAGAAGCAGACTTGGGCTGCTTTGTTCGTAATAAAGCAGGTCCCACCTAAAAAAAAAAAAAATAGAAGCAGACTCATAGATTCAGAGGAAAGACTGACAGCTGTCCTTAGGGAGGGTGATAAAAAAAAAAAGGTCAAGGGATTAAGCAAAAAACAAACAATAAAAAAAAACCACCAGCCCTGGCTGGTGTGGCTCAGATGGTTGAGCATATCCCATACCCAAAAGGTTGCCAGTTGGATTCCCAGTCAGGGCACATGCCTTATCCACTGGGTTCAGTCCCCTGTTGGGGTGCCTATGGGAGACACCCAATCAATGCTTCTCTCATATCTCTCTCTCTCTCTCTTCCTTCCTCTCTGTCTAAAAAACAAACTAAAACCAAAAATTCATAGTTACAGAGAGGTAGAAGAGGATAACGGGAGGATAAATGGAGATAGAAGACTTGACCAAGAATGGTAAACAAACAGTACAATATACAGCTGATATCTTATAGAATTGTACACCTGAAATCTATATATTCACCCCAATAAATTCGACTAAAATTACTTAAGAAAAATTACCTCTTAATTTGTATTTGTGAAAAAGAACCCCAGAACCCCTATACTAATTAGATTTAGAAGAAGGTTAATGTTAAGAGTAGATTATTGGTGGTACTTGGGTATTATCCTTAAAATTTCTAGGACATAAATAAAATTTTAGTAGAGTTAAGTTGACGATTCTAACTAGAATTGCCAGAATCATTAGAATGATAATCAACAGGATCTAATCTCACCTTCTAATAGAAAACAATTTAATTATGCTCTTTAGACATGTCTGCCTGAGTTGTATATTAGTTTTAAATGGGGATAATGAAGACCAGAAAGATTGAGATTACTGAATTTGCTAGAGGCTGAACAGTACAGGCTAACAATTACGGATTGTGGTTACTGCCGTGCAACTCGGTCGCTAGCAGCTTCTCTTAATTTCTCGTTCTCTTTCAACCTAGGAACCGGTCCTGGCCTAAGAACTGCCAAAAGGAAAAGCAGAAGGCTTTTCTGAAAGGTTGCATGTGATGCAAAAATGTAGAAGCTGTAAAAGAAAAAAAGCAGTTGCTGGTCTCCCAGTGGCACAGCGGCCTCTGGTGTTAGGAAGGGGTCTTCCTGCCATCACATGCACATTTAGGCCTACAGATCTCAGGTCCAGAGAACAACAGGTTATTTAGCAGTTTTTATATATTTACTTCCACCACCACCAACAGGGGGTGCACCCATGAAGCCGGGCTTAGTGCTATGATGACTAACCTAGCCCTCGTGACCAGAGGGAAGTGTGGACTGTAGCAGCTGTTTCATGTCACTTCTCTCCTTTCCTTTACCATCTCCCAACTTTTCCTTGTATCACATATGAAGGACACCCAGAGTGGCTAACTTTGGCTTTTCACGAGGGAATGTGTTGGAATCAACATGAATCCCTGATGACACACACCCTTAAGGAACTTCATGTGTCCCTGGTGCTGGGGATAGAAATTTTTCATGTGGATGGAAGACTAGAGAGGATGTTGAGGGGGAAAGGTATAGCCTGTATCAATGGACTCCTGTGCCTTTGGCTTCCAGTTCCTTCCAGCCAATGGGACCTTTAACAAGAGATGGGAGGGCAGAGAACAAAATCAGGGTATTCATTCCCGTGGCTCTTCCCTGGGGGGAGGCTGCCTTGGACTGTTAATGTTTTACTACCAAAGGTCACTGCCCATCTCACGGCAATCTCTTTACACAACTCCTTCCTCCTAGGTCCCAGTAAACTCATTCTCCTCACCCTCCTGGCCTGGGAGTGGTTACAGATTTCCCACTATTATTGGCCCCAGGTTTCTGACCCTCTACACTTCCCCATCTTTTTATAACCCCTTGTAAATAAACTCTCTTTAAATGACTCTAATTTGAGTTTGCCCTCTGTTTCCTGTTGGGCCCTTGTGTGATGTATTCGTGTTTCGCAGCTATAAAATGGGGATGAGACTAACCCATGATTCTGGAACTTGTTGGGAGAATAAAACGAAAGTAGATGTATGAAAAGTACTTCATAAACTCTAAGGGCTGTAAATATTAATTGTGTTTGAGGAATGAATGTTCTGGCTAATTACCCTCTTGGGTTCATTAGGAATTATCCTGAAGAGTTTCCAGGAATTAACTAATTAACTTCACTGTTGTTCTCTCTCTCTCTCTCTCTCTCTCTCTGTTGCTGAGAACCTTAAATGGTTTTTCCTTGACAAGGAGCAAAGATGGTCTTTATCCTAGCATTCAAGGACCTTCACAGCTTACACTCTTAATCACTTTCCCGTTCATCTTCCTTTTCTGCCCTCATCAATTCCAAACAAATGGATGAATCCCAGGAGAGCTGACCCTATTTTTCTGTGTCCTGATCTTTGCTCATTGGTCATGCACTTACCCCCTCAGACTCATCTAAACCTTGCCATCTCTCCATGCCCAGCATGAAACCTCAGCAAATTCACAGTTGGTATTCGTATCTGGATCACATTGGGTAGACAACTCTCTTGGAAATTAGTGAAATGTCGGAGACTTTAACGTGCCTCAAAGCAGTTACGAGCCACATTTTCAGAGTTGCTCACCTCGCCCTTTTTCTGTGCAGGCCCGTAGGACTCAGCCTACTTCCCTCTCTTCTGAAGATGCCAGGAGCCACGTTCTTTCCAGAGATTTTTCTCTTTCCAGGGTGGATTGTGAGATGGGACTCGTCTCACCCACTCTCTTCTAGCTTGACCCTGAACTGAAGTCTATAGTGTTTCTTATTTTAAACATTCGCATTTGCCTGTGTAGAAAGTAGCGAATAAAGGGAATGACAGCAAATAAATGATAAGCTTGATGCACTTTGCTATATTCTAACGCTCTCCATCCTCTGCCTATATGTCTGGGTCCTTTCCTGCTCTGAGGTGTGTTTCTTTTATCTCAACACGGAGCTCAAGAAGCACCAGTTCTTCAGTCTCTCACCAGTCAGGGGCCCTCTGACTGCAAATGGTCATTTACATCTCAGGAGGCCCCTGTGTAGCTGCCTCTCATTTAAACATCTGTGTTCCAGCCCTAGCCAGTTTGGCTCAGTGGATAGAGCGTTGGCCTGCAGACTCAAGGGTCCCAGGTTCGATTCCGGTCAAGGGCATGCACCTTCGTTGCGGGCACATCCCCAGTAGGGAGTGTGCAGGAGGCAGCTGATCGATGTTTCTCTCTCATCGATGTTTCTGACTTTATATCCCTCTCCCTTCCTCTCTGTAAAAAAACCAATAAAATATATTAAAAAAAAACAAACAAAAAAAACATCTGTGTTCCAGGTGGAAATCTCATCTTAAGAAGAACTGCTACTTTTGAGCAACTCATTTAATCCTCATAGTTATTCTGCAGGGTACCTCAATCCTTGAGGAAACAGGCTTAGTGTGGGATAGTTAAAGGTATATAGTTAGCAAAAGCAAGTCTATTTACCTCCAAAATGTGCGTTTTCTTTTATTCTTCCAACGGCATTACCCACAGGAGGTTATTTCCTGCAGTCACAGGCTATCACATGAAAGCATACGAAGGCACTCCTGTTGTTGTTTGGATCTTAATGTCTGTATCTTTTATAAATTTTAATTTTAATATTTAAGAATATTATCTTCATGTTACTTATGAAGCTAACTAAAGACTGAACATTGTTTTCTGTGTCACTATATTAGCCATTGCACCGTTACCGGAGGTCAATGACTCGCATGTGTTTAGTTTACATGTATCAGTTAACTGTTCCTAAAAGGCTCTCAAGTTAAATAGGTTATCTTAATTATTTTCCTTTCTTATGTATAGGGTAATTGGAATCCCAATTCTAATTCTTCTTTGCTGAATGACAATCTTACGAATGAAGATTAATCCCAGCACATGAAAAACAAAACAACACTGACAGATGTTTAAGATTGTGTGACGCTAAGGGACCACAAAGAAATGGGGTCGTGGTAAAAGG